GTTATTTATTTTCTATTGTATATTTTGCTTATTTGTATTAAAACCTGACATAGTCTGTAAGGTTTTCTTATTCTTATTGTTTGTTTTATCTAAGGACTGTTCTGTTCTGTTTTGTTTTTTTTTTATAATTTATTTATTTGAAATGTATAATGCCTTGGTTTTATGACTGTAATGTTATACTATTTAATTTAAATAAATAAATAAATAAATAAATGATCATCCCACTGCAGGGCAAAGGCTACCCTCCTGCTTTCACTCCTCTCTATGTAAAGCTTTTTGCGGCCAATATTTGTCATAGATGTCCAATTCGTCCCACCATCTTCTTTAGCCAGTCCCGACTTCGCACGGGGTAGAGAATTATTTATATTTGGATTTGGATTGTTGTAGTGACATAACTACAATAGTTGGACATATGCTACCGCGGAGTTTTTTGTAGACATTATGATGTTCTTCAATATTGTTTAACTTTATTTTGTTCTATCGCTAATAGTTTCGGCAGCACATTCGACGAAATTTAAGACTCATTTTTCTACACCTTCGGTTACATTGTTAAAATTTTACCAAGGATCCCTAATTTTTTTCAAAATGAAATGTAGCCTATAGATGTCAAATTGGAAGAATGTAGCATTCTATTGGTGAAAGATTTTTTTAAATCGGTCCAGTACTTTTTGAGCCTATTATTAGTATAGAAGTATAGATATAAATCCCCAAAATTTATTTATACAAAAGTGGTCTCTAAACATCGGAAATAGGGTCTATGTATGTATAATGAAGTCAGTGGAGAGTGGTCACTGCGGATGACTTGGGGACTGATCAGTTTAACACCTACATATTACTTAACCTTTGTGTATATTATTTGTTATATCTATATTTTATGGGCCGACACTTTAACGACTATCTCGCCTGGTGGTAAGCCATGATGCAGCCTACTCGCCTTAATAAACTTTTTAATTCGAATTAAAAAATATCTGATACACTTTCTAAATAGATTTTTTTTTGAACGTTGCCCCACACTAGGATTATCTCCCGTGTCGTGTGTGCGTTTACAAACATACAAGTTTACATACACATGACACACAGACCTGGAACAACAATATGTGGATCACACAAAGTGTTGTTGCGTGCGGGAATCGAACCCGCGCCACGTTACACGGGAGCCGGTTGCCCAGCCACCGCACTAACCGTGCAGTCAGATGGTTCCTTCAAATATTCAAATCTTATATCTGGAACTACAGCTATTATAAAACACGAAATATAATTGTATTAATGTTTTTTATTTTGTTTGATTTGGTACTAATATTTTTATCATGAAATATTTAAAAAAAAATGAAGACTTACCAACGCCGGAGGAATCTCAGTCTTCATCCGTCCAGTGAACATGTCAGAGAACCGAGCGATCTTCAGCTCGGGGTGATGTTCCAGTGCCTTGGCAATAGCCTCGGCTGCTGACACTCCGAGCGTGTTCCCCGTAAGTGTAAGGTACTGGAGGTCTGCGCAGCCATTGATGGCATCCACGATTGGTTGTGCTGGGGAGGACGGTAATTTGCATGTACTTGATGTTATTTTTTACTAAGATTATCTCCTGTGTCGTGTGTGTGTTTACAAACATACAAGTTCACAAACACATGACTCCCAGACCCGGAACAGCAATAGGCTATTACATACAATTTTTTAAATGTAGGTATCTAAAATATAGCCCTAATATACCTATAAAAAATTAAAAAAATGTTTTTTTTTGTCGCGTTATGTAACTGGTGACTTGTTATGTTTTTTTTATTGTTTTAACCTTTTGACCGCCAATGTCACATATACGCGACAAGCGAAAACTGTCCCTGGACGTCAACGACACAAATACATGACAGAAAAAGCGGAACCAGAAACACGAATTATTGGAATTCCTATTGTTGATACAATAGGGATTCCAATAATTCCTATTTCTTTCGTAGAAATTTGCGTGGAATTTGTGGCTTGGTGTCGAAGGTAGGTTCATGTGTTTTTGCTCTGGCGTTCAAAAGGTTAAAGCAAGCGGCCACTGGTGTCCGCTGTCCACTAACTACATTATAGACCCTATTTCCGATGTTTACAGACTACTTTTGTATAAACGAATTTAGGAGATGATTTTCAACAGTGTAAGCGCATCTTAAAATTTAATAGCATTTGATATTATTTGGATTTAAACTGTCAAACAGGAGACCGGTATCCGCACACCTATCGTTCTTTAATTGTGTCTATAATGATGGTACTCAAAGGGTTTTAAACTGTCAAACACCGCAAGGACACCAGTGTCCGCACACCTATTATTCTTTAATTGTGCCTATAATTACTGTACTCAAAGGGTTTTAAACTGTCAAACACCACGAGGATACCGGTGACCGCGACCTACTGTTCTTTAATTGTGTCTATAATGACGGTACTCAAAGGGTTTTAAGGGCCAAGTTTATCAACGCCAGATAAACTTCAACCGAGGAATAACTTTGAATATTTGACATTTGGGTGCTTGCCAAGTCAAATTCAATACTTTTCTTGAACCGTCTTAGACAACAGTTGTTTATGAATATTGTATGAAATTGTGTATTGTCATGTCAGGTTTTTTTAGAGTCAAACAACATACTTATTTCTTAAAAAAAAGGTGGAGAATTTACTAAAATTAAGTTGTTCACAAATCCATTAATGAAAGTGTGTATTGAACAGTCAAATTAATTTATTTTTTAATAAAGTCAAGTACCCAATTCTTCCGTGCTAAAAACTGTGATATGCCGATTTTATTCTCAGTTAGGCATTAACTGATGATTGAAAAATCGGCTCTAAGTGTGATTCTAATCAGTAATCATGAGAAAACAATAATGAATGTTATTACTGAGTTATTTTTATTGTTTCTAACACCAAAACAATATGTCTATAACATCCTAATAGTTTCAAGAACGTTGTAACAAGCTGCATCGGGCGCTATACCCGCTGAAGAATAAATACTCTTTGAGAATCACTGGTATTCAGAATGCATTTATTTTGAGAAGCTATTTTTAGCTCTGTTAACGCAATTACAGCCTTGAAACGGGTACTGGAGCATGATAATAAGTTATATATTTAAGTAATATGTTCACCGGGCAGATAAAACAAGGAAAATCAAGGCAAACATAAGTAATTCAATGAAACATTGGATTATAGGTTATGTTTGAAAAACATCAAGACGTAGATAACAAAATACTTAAAAATTGGGAGAACGTATCGGCATTGTTACAGAAACATCATGTTTAACCACAAAATCATCATAAATGTTGAGAAATTTGAAATAAAATCACTAAACTTACCATCATCTGCAGAGTTCAATTTTAAAGATTTTCCAGAAAAATCCACTCCACTAATGGGCCTGCCCGAGTCAGAAAGCGCTGAATTAATCGAGTTTAGATCGAATGTCGACATTTTGATTGTTAAAATACACGAATAAATAAATAAAAATGTTATAAACTAGGAAAACAATGACATCAACGAACTTTTTTCAATTTTTTCGTCATAGTAACCGCGAAATCTGTTATTTTTGGAAGCATAATGTTTTGTCTCACTTTATTTTTATAGAGATGAGTGAAAAAAAGCTATAGCTAATGACATACGATCAACAGTTGGTAATAACGGAACGCTTCAGCGCTTGTTTCTCACAAGCTTCATTCATTTTAAACCTTTTTTATTCTATAAATTAATTAAACTAGATAGTAAAAATACTAAATGTTTGCGCTTAAATTATATTTAATTTAGTTTTATGACATTTACAAATACATAATTATGTTAAAATATTGTTCACTCACACTGGCTGGAAGCCGAAATTACCAGGCATTGGCCACTTCTACTAAATTGGTAGGATTTAACTTTGCAAACAATGTGCCGACTTTGCAAACAACGTCGGCACATTTTAAGCTAACTATCCTACAATTTCTTTCCCCAAAACATTATAAATACTAAATATTTTCTGTAAATAAATAAAGGACAACTCATAATTGCTTTTATTCTTTCTTTTGGTAGCTTGCGTCTCTCCTATAAGGTTTAAATGATTACATTGTTAAACTTCCTGTGGATCAGCAGCCTGGCAGTCTCCAATAAAATAAAAACTAAAATGCATTTTTCACCCTTTATCGCGGCTAGCTTCATTGACCGACAGACTGACAGACTATTATTTTTTTCATATTTGTTAACGTTTCAAAATACCAAATTATGGTTTAATTGAAATAAATGCTTTTGAGTTTAACTCGATAGATACAATTATGTGTAGTAGGTATTGTATTCAACAACCAACATTAACACTCATTTAAACAATCTGAACCATAACATAATGGTCAATGAACTTGTAGGGCATACGTGCAAGGTCACACGTACGTAGCCAAATGTTTGACCATGGTAGGTTTCAAATTATTTTCAGGTATCACATTTCTGACATTACGCAATCCGGCGTTTTGTGTCAAATTGTGTCAGTGTCTGATTAATCAAACGCCGTGTGCTGCGTTGATTATTTCGTGACGTAGATTTTATATTAATTACCATTTGAATTCCCTTTTCCATTATCGGGATTCGGGAGTGTGCCTGTGCCTTCGATTAGTGGTTAAAAAAAGTTAAAACTAACATGGCCGGTAAGTTTTTGACATTTTATTTACAAAATATATTTTCGAAACTTTTAATCTTTCGACGAAGTTTTTAGTACCTGTTAAAACTTTTAAATGCGTTCGCTGATAAGAATTTTATCTACAATTTTGTTTATATAATAAAATACATTACTTTTAACTTTACATATACGTAATATAAATATTATTCCAATTGGATGACGATTTCGAAAGTTTAAATTGAAAATCACTAATTGGACAGTTAGTATTTATTGGGTCAACTAGCCAAGCAACAGGTTATAGTGAACTTGTATTGACGAAATATCTAATTTAACGATCTATGTCTTAATGACGTGAGTTTTCTTACGACAACTATCAAGCAAGCGGAAATAATACGCGTCATACAATTTTAGACCTTTGGAACAAGTGAGAATTAAAAAAAAAAATCGTACAAAACGTTTTATATTAATTCTAAAGCAATCTCTTTACCAGTTTTCGTTCAGCTGTTTGATAAAATTTATAATAAATGTATGAATGTTTTTTAACATTTTGTTTGAAGGTTAGAATATTAACACAAATAACTACTTATTATAAACATTTCAAGCCTTTTGACTCTCAAAGAGATAATAGGTACACATTTACAATATAACATCCACTGTTCACTAGGAGTCCCAAGCAATAGGGGGTGAGTCTATTGCCATTATACTTGGTTTCAGATTCCATACTAAACTAGTAAATTCCGAAAATTTTGTTCGTGAACACTAATCTAGGACCACTGGTCCGTCGCGGAGAACCTAATGGGTAACCGGGGCTCCGGCTCGACGTGCAGGAGAAGGAACGAGGTGGTTTTTAGTCAGTAAGAGTCTGACACTCCCTCCCGCCTCACCCAGGCGGGAGCAGTCATTCGATGATTTTCACCCCTTAAAAAAAAAAGGACCACTGGTCTGATTTGAAAAATTCTTTTTGTTCTGGATAGTTCATTAATCGAGGAAGGCTATAGGGTTTAAAACATCATGCTATAACCAATAGGCATTGAGCAGAGTGGGTGAAATTGCACGGAAGTAGCTAATCTTATGTAAATCTATGATAAGGTATCACTATTATTAATGAACATATTTTAAGTTAATCTCATTAGAATTCACACAGCAATAACATTAGTGCATAGTCATTATAAATATACATAATTTTTATTTTTAAAATATTGTATGATTATGAAGATTAAGAGTGTGTACCAAATAGCTATCAGTTTGATCTGTTGTCTCATTGGTGGCTTCGTCCGCGAATCACTTTAGGGGCCAGTAGAATACCAGCACGAGGCCCTGTCTTGCACATGCTGAACTGGTCCCCTTTCACCTCAGACTTGGGACATTAGTAGATATTTATAAACCTATTGTGGAAAATCTGTACTTGTCACCTGTTTAAGCGTGTGAAATAAAGTAGTTTTTTTTCTTTCTGTCTCTTTCTTTCTCATTAGGAAGGAGGGGAAATTCCAATGACTAAATTGGACCCAAACTAACAAACGGGGCAAGTTAAAAATAACCCTTTCATAATAAAAAGCTTTTGTAAGTAATATTTTATTTTTTAATTTTTTTTTAAAGTATATTCAGGTCAAGTTATTCAGGAAATTCAAATGTTCCTGGTATAGTTTATTCGTGTTTCTTTTTCCTGTAATCGTACTTGCATTAGTATAATATTCATCAATTAAATTTAATGGCCTTTTGTTGTAAAAAATATCATAAAAACAATCTCTTTTTATGGGGTATAAACATCGTATGACCGGTATAGATATATGCCTATGCCTTAACAAGTTACTGGAGCTCAGGCTCGAAGTGCAGGAGTAGGAACGGGGTGGTTTTTAGTCAGTAAGAGTCTGACACTCTCTCCCGCCTCACCCAGGCGGGCGACTACCCCTCCCCTTAAAAAAAAAAAAATAGGCATCAGCCCTATTGGGCCCCATCTGTGGTGGTCTGATGACTCCTTCAGCCGCGCGGACCGCGACGCGCCGTACGCTCGGGTCTGGTACGGGTCGGACGGCGAGTCACCCGTGCTCGCCGTGCGCAGGCCTGCTCTTACGGTGGCCGAAGATCGTCCCGCGATCCCCGACGAGAGATGCTGGAGACTCTGAACAGAGACCCGTGGCCTATACGCCCTAAGGAGTAATATAGGCATCTTTTATATTAAAAAACAGCAGAAGACGAAGCTTTAGTGAAAACTATTTTCCAAACCAGTTTCAAACATCATTTAGGTTCACAATTATGTAAGACATACGTAAATAACTTGAAAGAACTTTGGACCCAGTAATGTAATTCTACTTGAAAACAATTATGTTTGTATAATGACAATAATTTAGTGAAGTGTTCGTTTTTAAAGGCTCTTTTGTTGGTTGTTTTTCCTTTTTATTTATTTATTGATTTATTTCATGGATATTCATCTTAAACTGTCAAACACCAAGCGGTCACCGGTGACCGCAACCTATTGTTCTATAATTGTGTCTATAATGACGGTACTCGACGAGTTAACTAGTGGCGTGTCGCGGAGAACCTAACGGGTTACCGGGGCTTTGGCTCGAAGCGCAGCAGAAGGATTTTTACCTCACTAAAACCACCCCGGTGGCTACCCTCAACACCTGTATTGAGATACCGGGTCCTCCAAGAGACCTGCGCCGGAGCCTCCACGGTGCAAAGCCTAGGTGCTTACTCTTGAAATCTCAATGTCAATGAAAATTCAATCCAATAAAATCTCAATAATTATTCAATGTCAACACTATACAACCACAATCGTAGCTGTTACAATAGCATTCAGAGTACGGAATATAAAGACAAACTCAACACCATTTAGTTCATTCAATATCCACGCAATATGAATGCAATGGGCGCTAGTGTTGCATCTCGAGAGTACGAAATTTCACAATACCAATATCGATCGATCGGAATTGGATTCAAGAGTAAGTCTCCCTGTCCTACTACCTTACTTTCTAAGTTCCTACTAATATTGCGAAAATTAAATGCGAAAGATTTTTGTTTATTACTCCTTCACGTCAAAACAGGATAAAATCTGGAACAGGGGTAGAATATTGTCTGGAATAACATGTAGGCTACTTTTTACCCCACGGGATCGTGGGCGAAGCCGCTGGTGAATAAAAAGTGTGATGACTGATGATATATAAAGTACTGAAACAAAGACACGCCTACCAACGTCAGCAAAAACTTACCGTAAAGATATTTATTTAAATGACATAACTGTATAATAAATACACGAGTGGTTTTAGCATAATGTTATTATTTTAACTGTTTGCGAAGAATACAATAATATTATGTAAATATTACTGACGATTGCTGACGGTCATGCGAGGGTAGACATTATCAAAAATATAATATTTTCTGTTTGTTGTATAAATATGATACTAAATATAGTATAATCGGTATGAGAATAAAAACATTAATAAAAAATAAAAACTGTCCACTTTGAATCACCTACATACTGGCTACTCCTTCACAGTTTCACATGCTCTGCTCAGCTCCTATTGATCGGAGCGTGATGTTTTATAGCCTATAGCCATCCTCGATTAATGAACTGTCCAATACAAAAATAATTATTCAAATCGGACCAGTAATTCCGGAGATTTGCGGTCTTAAACAAACAGACAGACAGACAAACAAACAAACGAACAAATTCTTCAGCTTTATGTGATAGTAATAAGATTCAGTTTTCGACAGTTTTTTGATTTCTAAAGATGTAGGCAGAGGTGCATCAATGTAACACCCACGTTTCACTATTTATGTTATTAGTCCCATGTAATAGGGGGTGAGCATACTGCCATATACCGGGCACAATTCCAGACTCCGTGCTACAATTGAGATATTTTTTTTATAAAACCCAGTAATTCTTTCCTCGACCCTCGAATGGATTCCGAGACCTCTTGTCCGACAGTCGCACTTGCGACCATTCAGCCAACAAGGCAGTCCTAGACAGTTTTTTTAAGTCGATTTATAAAAACGTAACATTTTCTTCATTTGTTTCAGCCACGAACAACCCCTATGATCATCTGCTGAAAACGATTGAGATCGACGGCAAACAGTTCAAGTATTATGACGTCACCGGCCTTGGGGAGAAATATGGTAAGCAATGGATTCATGTAGAAAAATCTTCCTATGTTTTTTTTTATGGAATAGGAGGCAAACCAGCAGGCGGATCACCTGATGGTAAGCGATCAGCGCCGCCAGTAGACACATGGAACACTAGAGAAGTCACAGGTGCGTTGCCGGCCTTTTAAAAAGGAATATGCTCTTTCCTTGAAGGTTTGAAGGTCGTATCAGTTCGGAAATACCGCCGAGGATTGTTTGTTTGACGATTGTTGGAGATTCAGGGGTTGGGGAAGGGTGGGGGAAGTAATTGGGCGTCCGGTAACCCCACTCACACAACGAAACACAACGCAAGCGTTGTTACATTGAGCGGCGGAGGACTTAAAGGGTTGCCGGGGCTCCGGCTCGACGTGCAGGAGTAGGAACGGGGTGGTTTTTAGTCAGTAAGAGTCTGACACTCCCGCCTCACCCACGAGGAAGAAGTCATTCGATGATTTTCCCTCTCAAAAAAAAAGCAGATCGTCTTTAAATGTGAGAACGATGTAACAACATTACGGAATCAACTCCTGAAGTAAAAAAAGCCCTGAATGATTATTGTAAACACGGTGCACCATTAAATATTATGTTTTCGGCTTACTCTCGTAACTGTTTTTTTTTATGGCATAAGCCAGTAAACGAGCATACGGATCACTTGATGGTAAGCAATCGGCGTCGCCCATGAACACCAACACTAGAGGCGTTACAAGTTCGTTACCGGCTTTTTGGGGATTAGGAGTTTGAGGATCGTTGGGGATTCAGGGATTGGGGAGATTGGGGAAGGGGAGGGTAATTGGGCCTCCGGTAACCTGACACACACGACGAAACATAACGCAAGCGTTGCTTTACGTCGGTTTTCTGCGTGGTAGTATCACTCCGGTCGAGCCGGCCCAACAGTGCCGAAGCATGGCTCTCCCACACTTAAACGTTTGTTTCACGAGGAACTCTAGAACTCTAAGAACTCTAGAAATTAGGCTTTCATGTCAATCATGCTAGAGGCTCCTTCATGAGCAGCAATACGTGAATGGAAACGTCGCGAAATCAATTACGTGAGTAAGCTGAAAACATAATCATCAATACATAGTATAAAACAAAGTCGCTTTCGCTGTATGTCCGTATGTATGCTTAGATCTTTAAAACTACGAAACGGATTTTGGTGCGGTTTTTTTTAATAGATAGAGTGATTCTTAAGGAGGGTTTGTATGTATAATACATGCATATTGCACCCGTGCGAAGCCGGGGCGGGTCGCTAGTACTGATTAAATTTAGTATGTCGCGCGAAAGTTTTAATATAAACATGGTGAAAAATGGTCCATGGTGATGAGTTAAGAGAAAGCGATCTCCCGCCTGCTTGCGGAGATTATGACAAACCCTCTTATGTAGAGGAGACTCATAGTGCAGCAGTGGACTGTCAGGCTGTTGACATGATTCAATTTCTTTCTCCTTTCCATATAAAATGAAGAAAATCACAAACCACAATATTCATGAGAGGTGTATCTCCTTATCTTTGAGTAGTGATAACAAATGTCATTCAGTCCTTATCAAATCTCCGTCAATATTATCATGACACTACCTTGAACCTATTCGAAATAGATAAAAAGTATTTCTCATAATAGTAAATAACTTTTTCTTGTGATACTGCGCTATCTTTTTTTATGCAGAAATGTCATTACGGTCAGTCTATGTAGTCCGGTTAGCTGCAACTCTTGTGCAGAAGATAACAAAACATAACATCACGCCTTTTATCCCCGAAGAGGTAGGCAGAGGTGCACATTACGACACTTAATACCACTGTACAATGTAACACCCACTTTTCACTATTTATATTAAAAGTCGCATGTAATAAGGGGTGAGCCTATTGCCATATACCAGGCACAATTACAGACTCCTTATTGCTATATAGAATTAAAAAAATCAAATTCAAATTCAAATTCAAATTCAAATTATTTATTTGCACAAATATGGGTACATCATGTTGTTCATAGTTTATACAGTCATATAATAATATAGATCGCCATATTCCGGCTTTCGCCATGCAAAGTTAAGTGACAACAATTTAAGTCAAGATAAAAAAGATTAATTTTAAGGTCAAAAATAGTGGGTTTACGTCATAAGGAATAATTATTATTATTAAGTCAGAAAATAGCATATAGGTAAATTAAAGTTTTAAATCTTTGTCGATAAAATTCTAATATGTCACAAAATCGAATATCATCTATACATAATATTTAATAAAATTGTTACTATCTAAAATACAATTAAAATTTAATGTCATACAGTTACTCATACATTAATAGTGTATCTGTGTGCTCCAATATTTACATTTCGATTCCGGATATATCGTCCTCTATAAATTCCTTTATGGAGTAATAGGCTTTTGCCAAAAGTAGACATTTTAATTTACTTTTAAATGAATGGTCGTTTGTTGTTTCCAATAATGTGGTGGGTAAATGGTTGTATAATCTAGGTATCATGCAGAATACACTTTTACTTAGGAGTCCAGTTCTGTTTGGCATGCAGCTTAGTTTTAACTGTTGTCTCCTACTTTTTAATTTTGGAAAGAGATTTGTATTTTGCCTAGCAAACATTATTAGGTCAAAAATATAAATACACGGGAATGTCATTATCTTAATATTAACAAATGTAGATCTACAACTTTCGGTTTGTTTCATTCTGAATATGGCTCTGACGCATCTTTTCTGAGCTCTAAAAATCGCGTCTCTTTCTGTACAATTGCCCCAGAACATTGCACCAAATTTTAATATGGGGGTGACATACCCATGGTATGCCGTAAGAACAGCTGACGTATTGACCGTTCTAGACAACATGTATATTGCGTACGAGTACTGACTAAGTCTCGAGCACAACGTTTCCGCATGCAGCTTCCAACTCAGCTGCGAATCCATCTGCAATCCCAAAAATCTGGTTGTATCAACTATCTCAATCTTGGTCTGCGAGTGGTGAATATTTATGTCATCTACTAACTTGGGAGTCCTATTTTGAAACGCCATTAATTTAGTTTTTTCTAAGTTAACTTTAAGGTTATTTAAAGTCAACCATTGTATGATAGTGGTTAATGTGTGATTTATGTCAAGTTCAATCTGAGTTTTGTCCTTGCCCGTAAATATAATTGTGCTATCGTCAGCGAATAAGACACAGTTGTGATTAATGGCTTTAGGTAGGTCATTTATATATATAATGAATAATAATGGTCCCAACACACTACCCTGTGGCACACCAAATTTATTTTCAATAAAATCTGATTTGTAAGTTTTTATTTCTTTGGAAATAGAGCATATTCTAGTTATGTGTGTTGACTGTTTCCTATTGCATAGATAACTCTTTATAAGGTTATGTACATTACCTCTAACCCCATAAGCATATAATTTCTCAAGCAAGATAACATGATCAACATAATCAAATGCTTTTGTTAAGTCCATATAGAGCGCATATGCATGACTTTTTGAATCGATGCTAACCATAATGTGTTTCAAGAATGAGTAAATTGCCAAATTGATACTTTTGTTTTTCCTAAAACCTACTTGTTCCTTAGTGAATAGGTTATTAGTTTCAAAGTAACTGTATAATCTTTCGTGAATCACCTTCTCAATTACTTTGGATATAACAGGTACTAACGCTATTGGTCTGTAACAGCCCATGTCATTTTTATCATTTTTTTTGAATAAGGGTTTAATAATAGTCTTTTTTAATATTTCTGGGAAGACACCCTGGTAAATGCAAATATTAATAACATGCCCGAGTACATGCGATATTTTATCAGAAACGTGTTTTAAGACTTTGGTAGTAATGTCATCATATCCTGTACTATTAGTCGATTTCAAGTTTGTAATTATTTTGTGTATTTCATTCTGTGTAACAGGTGCCATAAATAAAGATTTTGGTGCAATATCTATACATGTAGGTACTTTGTTAGGTTCCAATTTTGTAATTTGGTTAATGAAATATTTGTTAAAACTATTAGCAATCTCTAAGGGGCTTTTAATTGTGGTTCCATTGGTGGTTACTATCTGTTGTATTTCCGGCTTTGGTAAGTTAATCTTGCTTCTATTAATAACATTCCAAGTTGCCTTACATTTGTTTCGAGCATTGTTTATATAATGGTCATTTTTAGATTTTTGTGTAAGGTTAATTATACGTTTAAGCCTTGAGGATAGCGTTGTAAAGCTTTTTCTATTGATTTCGGTCTTGGTTTTACGATATTGCCACAGAAGTTGCCGTTTACGTTTGCAGCACTGCTTTATACCCTTAGTGATCCGGTCAGTAAGAGTCTGACACTCCCTCCCGCCTCACCCAGGCGGGGGCAGTCATTCGATGATTTTCCCCCCTTAAAAAAAAAAAAAAAAAAAAAACCTGTTAGAGGCGAAGCAACCTTATATGTAGTTTCGAAGTATAGCTGTTTTATTCATGATGTACATATCAGCTACGTAATGTACACTCTCTCACACAGTCGTACAATAACTACACATTGTTAAGTGTGGGAGAGCCATGCTTGCCGGCTCGACCGGACCGAGCTGAAAACCATAGAGAACCAACCACAGCGTTGTGTATCACCTGTGCCACATAAAGGCATTTTTCTCTCTCTTTCTTTCACAGTACTTTAGAACTTTATTCCACAGTTTAGTTAGTATTTTTACAGTTGAGAAATGTAAATGGTACTTGACCTTTGTGACCCCCGAAACGTTGAATTAATGCATACACATTTACGTAGTTTCGTAATAACGTCAATGTATTTTTGTAGTGTAGGATAATTCATGCAGGAAGGGGGCGCGTCTCGTCGTTATTTTATTGTATTTATATCGATTTTGTGTTGTGTCTAAGTGACTATATAACTCCAATAGTAATCCCGCGCGATTTTATTCATTACACTCGGCTCTTATTGACCTTAGCGAGATGTTTTATAGCCTTTTTTTGGGACAAGCCCGCCACATCCTCCCTAAACCGCTGCAACTCCTGTAAGCCAGTATCTGCAGTAGATATAACCATGAAAACACCGGAACACTGAAGTCCAACGTCCCAGGGATATGGATAACTATCTTGGTTCCCGCAACGATATGAATCAGAAGATATTATAAGACGAGAAGAAAAAAACTATAGTTTCTACTTCCCTCGGTGAATTATTACAAAAGTTGATTAGCCTACGGGCGATATCTTTAAAGACAGAATATGTTTCGACCCCAAACGGCTCAAAACAGTCTCACTAATTTGAATATTTACGCCGTTTGAGGGCCTATGCCGCGGAAGCGGCCGCACTAGCGCGTGCACCGGTACTTAGAAGATGTGATGGCGCAAGGGTGTCTGTCCACACACGTCGCGTCCCACACCAAAGGCCTACCCATCTTCCAAGGCAGCAACGACATATCATCTAGTCTCTTGTCGTCATCACGTACCAAACCATTAGGTTCTAATACGGCTGGTACACCGGCTGAGGCAAGATCACGACGAATGATGTCGTTGATATCTACCCCAGTTCCAAAGTTCATTCCGATCCCTTCAGCCGTTTTGAAGTGAAGGAGTCACAATCTTACCCACAAACAGAAATTTTCGCGTCACACTAATATTATACTAGCTGTTACCCACGACTTTGTTCGCCTGAAATTATTGATATTTCTTGTTAATTGATACTTTTTTGATGCGACAACGTGTTGATTAGCGAGGCGTATTTGAGAGCTAGTATGAAATGGAACGTTTATTGTCTATTCGAGATGGCGTCATTAAAATAATTTAATAATATGAAAAAATCTCCGTAATCCGAATTTTGCGGATATAAGTTATCGACTCGAAATCGACATTTTTTCGTTTTGTTATTCAGGTAATGTTTCGATCGAGTCTACCGTACCCCTTGACGAAATTATTAATATAGAAATGTGAAAGTTTCTTTGTTTGTCCGTCCGATGTTTGTCCGTCAATAATGCTGAAACTTTTTTTTTTAAGGGGCGAAAATCATCGATTGACTTCTCCCGCCTGGGTGAGGCGGGTGGGAGTGTCAGACTCTTACTGACTAAAAACCACCCCGTTCTTACTCCTGCCCTTAGAGCCGGAGCCCCGGCAACCCGTTAAGTCTTCCGCGGCTCCGTATCGGCATCAGCCCTATTGGGCCTCCATCCGTGGTGGTCTGATGGCTCTTTGAGGCGCCCGCGGGACGCGACGTGCCGTACGCTCGGGTCTGGTTCTGGTCGGGCGGCAAGCCACCTGCGCTCGTCGTCAGCAGGCCCGTGCTTACGGTGGCCGGAGATCGTAAATAACGCTGAAACTACTGAACGGATTTTGATGAAACTTGGTATACAGGCAGGGTATGGGCTGACTTAGGTGATAGGATACTTTTATCCCGATTAAATGCTCCCATGGGATGAAACAGGAATCATATTCTACGCGAACTGAGTCGTGGGCAACAACTGGTTTATAGAGGTAGTACTAGTAAGATTGTCTGTCGCGGACTAATGTAGGTATGCTTCATTCGAGCATCGAATTCAAGATCCATTGATACATTACTGTATGACAGGAAATATCATTCAATCCTTGAGTTAGTAAGCAACAACAATACATATATTCATTCATTCATTGTTGGATAACATGAATTCTTTCATCGTATGATTGTATTGTATTTTTTTTTATGGCATGAGCCGGTAAACGAGCAGCCGGATCACCTGATGGTAAGCAATCGGCATCGCCCTTTGACACCTGGAACACCAGAGGCGTTACAAGTGCGTTACCGGCGTTTTGGGGATTAGGAGTTTGAGGATCGTTAGATATTCAGGAATTGGGGAGATTGGGGAAGGGGAGGATAATTGGGCATCCGGTAACCTCACTCGCACGACGAAACACAACGCAAGCGTTGCTTCACGTCGGTTTTCTGCTCGGCCGTGGTATCACTCCGGTCGAGCCGGCCCATTCGTGCCGAAGCATGGCTCTCCCACACTTTTATGACTTACTAGCTCTTACATGCTGTTTCGCTTGCGTAATCATAATTGTTGAGGAGTCCTCTTCAACGGTGCAGCCTGTCTGCACATCGAAATAGAATTAGCATTAAATTTTTTACACTTGTATCAAAGACTCGGAGCCTTTAGCGTTTTTTAGACGACCAATTATCATCAGGTGATCCGCCTGCTCGTTTACCGGCTTAACCTATAAAAAATTAACAAACCATAACATCACACCTTTTACCCTCGAAGGCAGAGGTGCACATTATACCACTGTACAATATAACACCCACTTTTCACTATTTATGTTATGAGTCCCATGTAATAGCGGTGGAGCCTATTGCCATATACTGGGCACAGTTCCAGATTCCGTGCTACTACTACTCAGAATTTTTAAAAAAACCCAGTAATACTTTGCCCGACCCGGGAATCGAACCCGAGACGCCTTGCTCGGCAGTCGCAATTGCGACCACTGGGCCAACGAGTAAAAAAATTATGCTGTTTTAATATAAAAGCAATAACCAAGACTGCAAGTCTATCTATATATATAAAAGAAAGTCGTGTTAGTTACACCACTTATAACTCAAGAACGGAAGAACAGATTTAGCTAAAAATTGGTATGGAGGTAGCTTAGAGCCAGGAGACGGACATAAGATACCCGATTTTTATCCCGTTCGAAAAAAAAGTTTAGTTTAGTTTTAGTTTCCGGGAAAGACTGCACGGTTGGCGCGGTGGCTGGGCAAATGGCTGCCGCGCAACGTGTCGCGGGTTCGATTCCCGCACGGAACAACACTTTGTGTGATCCACAGATTGTTGTTCCGGGTCTGGGTGTCATGGTGTATGTGAACTTGTATGTTTGTAAACGCACCCACGACACAGGAGAAAATCCTAGTGTGGGGCAACGTTTTTTTAAAAAGAAAAAAAAAAAAAACAGGATTGCGCGTACGAAGTCGCGGGCAGAAGCTAGTTAGTGATGTAGTAAGCATTGTCTTAGGGTTCTATCAGTGCCGGCGACCTTCACATTATGATAAAGACATCTCTATTTCTTACAGACCGTCTCCCCTACTCCGTAAGAGTACTCCTGGAGTCCTGTGTGAGGAACTGCGATGGTTTCCAAGTGCTGCAGAAAGATGTCCAGAATGTCCTGGAGTGGGAGACCAACCAGGCTGTCGAGGGTGGCGTTGAGATCGCTTTCAAACCCGCCAGGGTGATTCTACAGGTAAATATCATCATCATCAGCCTATAAGTGGCCACTGCCACCAAAGGCCTCTTCTCACACGGAGAAGGAATGATCATTAATAACCTAAGAGACTTTAAGCCCAGGTTTCCTCACGGTGTTTCCACCACCGTGCGTGTGTCATAAATATATTTCTTTTTTATACTAGCGACCCGACCGGGTTCGCACGGGTGCAATATGCATGTATTATACATATGAAGCTTCCTTAAGAATCACTCTATCTATTTAAAAAACCGTTTCGAAATCCGTTGCGTATTTTTATAGATCTAAGCATACATAGGGACAGACTGACGGCGGATAGCGACTTTGTTTTATACTATGTATTGATGGGCCGACGTTTCAAAGTACTAAATACTAAGCCTAAAAGCGGCTTCGCACGGGTGCCATAGACATGTATTATACCCGAAATAAATAATATTCTGTCAGTATCTCCGTCCGTGAAGCTAGGTAAAGCTTGGTGCTCATTCCAAAATATAGGTTTGAATGGAGAAGAACGAGCAAGAAACTCCATTCGTTACTCTTTTTAAAAAAGTATGTTCTACAATGTCTCTGATACATATTTCAATACTGTACGCATATGTGAGAATAATGCAAAGACACGCTTGACGCATTATACTAATTACAAAACTTACTAAAATAAAAAATAAAGAATAAAACAAAACAAAAATGATGGATAATCTTATAGTAGACTAGCTACTTCCGCTCGGTTTCACACGCTCTGCTCAGCTCCTATTGGTCGTAGCGTGATGTTTTATAGCCTATAGCCATCCTCAATAAATGCGCTATCCAACACAAAAAGAATTATTCAAATCAGACTTGTAGTTACGGAGATTAGCGCGTTCAAACAAACAAACAAGAAAACAAACTCTTCCGCTTTATATAATAGTATATATTACATACGGTGGTCTGACCATATATCCAAGGAACTGGAGATACCTATGAATGTTACAATACACCAAGCAGCGGAACGAGATAAGTGGAGACATCTAGTGAGCAGAATCAGAGGGAGTCACGATCCTCAGCAGTGAGGAAATCGACTAAAAAGTATATGTTACTTATTTTTCCAGGATCTCACAGGTGTACCAGCTGTAGTAGACTTCGCAGCTATGCGTGATGCTGTAAAGGATCTCGGCGGAGACCCTCAGAAGATCAACCCCATATGCCCGGCTGATCTTGTCATCGACCACTCTGTGCAAGTCGATTTCGCTAGGAGGTGTGTATTTTTGATTTTTTTTTAATTTTTTTTTAATTTTTTTTTTTAAAAACGTTGCCCCACACTAAGATTTTCTCCTGTATCGTGGGTGCGTTTACAAACATACAATATCACATATACATGACTCCCAGACCCGGAACAACAATCTGTGGATCACACAAAGAGTTGTTCCGTGCGGGAATCGAACCCGCGACACGTTGCGCGGCAGCCAGTTGCTCAGCCACCGCGCCAATCGTGCGCCATTCTTTTCTCCTCAACCAAGTTTTATACATAACATCACGCTTTTTAGGGCAGAGGTGCACATTACGGCATTTATGCTACAATGTAACACCCACTTTTCACTATTTATGTTATAAGTCCCATGTAATAGGGGGTGAGCCTACTGCCATATACCGGGCACAATTCTAGACTCCGTGCTACTGCTAAGATTTTTTTATAAACCCAAAATACTAGCCGACCCGAGATTCGAACCCGAGCCCCCTTTCCCGGCAGTCGCACTTACAACCACTCGGCCAACGAGGCAGTTACCCTGTATAATAGTATTAAAATTATAAATATAGAAGTTTCTTTGTTTGGATGTTCGTCCGTCAATTGCTGGAACTACTTCCTAAATGGTATTTTGATGAAATTTGGTATACAGATTACAGACAGGGTATGGGCTGACTTAGGTGACAGGGTACTTTTTGTCCCTATTAAAGGTTCTTTAGGTTGGTATTGGTCGCCGGATCAGTCAGCCTCACCTGTTAATCGAGCTGATTGTAAACCGACCATGCGTACTGCCTTCAGAACGGGTCCGCTCAAACTGTTGTGGTTCTTTTTTTATAGCATAAGCCAGTAAACGAGCAGACGGATCACCTGATGGTAAGCAATCGCCGCCGCCCATGGACACTCGGAACACCAAGGCGTAACAAGTGCGTTACCGGCCTTTTAGGAATTGGGAATTTGAGGATTGTGGAAGATTCGGGGATTCGGGAGACTAGGGAGGGGGGTAATTGGGCTTCCCTCAAAAGGCCACTACAGAATGAACTTGCACGGTTCTCACACATAATCTTTTATATGCATATTATCTGGACTTTAAAAGAGACAGACCTCCGAGTTTGTTTCGGCATTTCTTCTCAGAGTAGTCAGTTAGGAAATGTCGACCTCATCGTTCGCTTGATAAAATTGACGTGTAAATGTGACGCCTTGTAGCCTATTTGCTTAAAAAATTCACTTGTTTCACAAATGCTCCCATGGGATGATACAGGAATCATATTCTACGCGGCTGAAGTCGCAGGCAACAGCTGCTTCTAATATTAGTATTGACGTGTTATAATATCTCCTCAAATTGCAGCCCAGACGCTTTGAACAAGAATCAAGAATTGGAATTCGAGAGGAACAAGGAACGGTTCCAGTTCCTCAAGTGGGGAGCCCAGGCCTTCGACAACATGCTGATCGTACCACCCGGCTCTGGAATTGTACATCAGGTACGTAATTGTAGCTTCTCTAAACAATAATTATTATTTATTGTCCATAAGGTTATTTTATTTTTCGATCTCTTTGACTGGATTTAGTGTTACATTGTTCTCACACAATCGGGCCAATAAAACTATGTAACTTTAGTCAGAATTTGAATTCGATTCCATATTTGACATTAGCTACTGTCATTTTGTGAAATAATGATACCACATATAATAGCGTAGTGATGAACACAAAAATCGATAAACAATAAGTGTGTGTTTTATAATAAATGTTACAGAAAGTGACAGCGATAGCGATAGCGATGACGGCGATAATTCATAAAATAAATTATTACCATAATACATCTATCTGTTTTATTTGTCATGTTCCTTCATGATTACATTTTTTATATATTTCACACACAATTATAAAAGAAAAGTCTCAGATCGTTAATTAATCGTCAAAACTAAATTTTCGGTTCAGAAATATTTAATTTCCTGATATACTTAGTTTACGAGAGTAAAATTATAAACGAGAAGAATCGATCCGGAATTATTCCATTTCCATATCGAACAATTTCGCAACGTCACTATTTAGTACTTGTCATAACGTTGCAACATTGAAATTTTCAAATCTGGAATCGAATTAAAATTCCGAGTATGGAGAATTGTATTGTGAACCTGATTGAAAAAGAGTAACCTATGGAGTTTCTTGCTCGTTCTTCTACATAAGAATCTACACCTTGGAATGGGCAAATAGCTTCACTTTTAATTTTTGTTGACGTTCAAAAGTGCGTATCTGTTCTAATTGAAATAAAAGATTTTGAATTATCGTAAGTGTAACAGACACTTATTTGAAAACCGCACCAAAATTGGATCAGCCAGTCACGAGGTAATCGCACATAAACATGCATACATATTTACAGGTCAAACTGAGAATGTCTTTCTTTTATTGAATTCGTTTAAAAACAGACACTTGCTAGAAAAGTTGTCTTTGCACTCGATAGATGGCGTTATTTTCTACTTTTTCTGAATTCTTTTTTTGTGTTGATTTTTTTTTTCATTTTTAAAGGTAAACGTTCTATTCTTAACAAAATAAGAAAATAATAATAATAACAAGTAAAAAAATAATTGATGGCCCAGCGACTCTTTTGTGTTTGGGTGTCATGTGCATGTAAACTTGTACGTTTGTAAACGCACCCACGACACAGGAGAAAATCCTAATGTGGGGCAACGTTTTTTTTAATAAATAAATAAATAAAGAAAAATTACCCAAATCCGACAATAAGTTTCAACGAAGAATTTCTCCAAACAAAACAGACGTATGCTACGAATGTTGTCTCCACGCTCGATAGATGGCGTTGTACAATTCATTAGTATTTCTGAATCGCGCTATGGTTTCGTTACTCGCGTTTGATTAGGGTGTGCACTCCGTTGTTTTGGAATCAATCATTATCATCTCACCTTACTGATGTTTAGGGTCTGATAATTGTCTAATTATTGGACCCTATATTGTTATGTCCATTATTTTTGGTAAAAACTCGTGGCCGAGAGGTCGCGGAGTTTTATAAACATTAAAAATCTATTCTATTTAATAGAAATTAGCGACAAGCTTGTCAATATTAGTGGTATTTATTATTTAAATATCGTATGTATTTGTAAATTTATTGACCAGGCACAAATTTTTGTAATTATATATAAAAAAGCTTATTATTTTCTAGTCAAAGTCAAAATCATTTATTTTAATTAGACTAAAAAGGCACCTTTGAACGTCAACAAAAATTAAAAGTGAAGCTATTTGCTCATTCCAAAGGTGTAGATTCCTATGGAGAAGAACGAGTAAGATACTCCATAGGTTACTCTTTTCCAATCAGTTTCACAATACCATTCTCTAGTTACATAGTTTTATTTTTTGGATTGTGCGAGAACAATGTAACACTAAAATCCACTCAAAGAGATCGAAAAAGAAAATAACCTTAAAGACAATAAATAATACAGTCTGGAGTTGACCAGTCCCAGTTGACGGCGCCCGTTCACGAACATGACACGTACCCCAGCACCGCCCAACTCAACCATATTGTAGGGAATCGAGCGATCCACTGCACGCGCCACCGCCAATGAGACCTTAGAGTGAGCATGACAACTACAAGCTGACACAAATACATTCTACTAGTCTAATTAATTGTAAATAATAAGTTAGTTAAAGTTAGTCAAAGCTTATTATCAAATACCGTCAGCGAGTTTTAAAGAAAAATGCAATCAAACAAAAAACAGACACAAGCTACCAAAGTTGTCTCTACGCTCGATAGATGGCGCTGTACAAAATTGTAGTTTTCCTGAATCGCGCTATGGTTTCGTTCCTCGGGTTTGGTTAGGGTGCACGGCCACGCTCACTCGTTGGGAAGACCTACAATTTTTAGTTTGCATCCGGTAGAAGCACTCTATATTATTTTGTATGTTTCCTTCTATATTTTTGGACAAAACTCGTGGTCGAGAGACCGCAGAGTTTTATAAATATACATATAATTTAAACTTTTTATAATAACTATCGTGAGACATACAAAATGAAACAAAAATCGCGAGTTACACACAGTAGGCTGCGCGACATTGCCGCGTTCGCGCACGCTGCTCATGAGGAATAACTCCTTTATTGTGGTTCCAAATTTCATTGGACATCAAAAATTTTTTGAAACAAAAAATAAAGCTATGAATGATTGTTTCAAATACGGTGCCCACATATGTACACTTACAATTTGAAATAATGCTATTATATAGATAAAAATCTTTAATAAAGTCTTTCAAATGACAAAATAGATGTTCGATGAGTACGTGCAGTATCGACCTCATCGTTCATCGCTTAAAAAAATGACGTGTAAAAGAGCCGCCTTGTGGCCTATTTATAGATATAAATTCGCTGTTTCATTTGTTATAGGTATTACTTTCAAAAATCGTAACAAAAAATATCATTATTTTTATCCTTCCAAAAAAAGGGTATAACCCAAATTGACGCCTAGCTCAAATGAAAAAAAAAAACAGACACAACTGCAAAAGTTGTCTCCACGCTCGATAGATGGCGTTGTACAATTCCTTAGTATTCCTGAATCGCGCTATGGTTTCGTTACTCGTCGTTGGTTAGGGTCCGCGAAAACTTATAAATATACACGGTCGAATCTGAACGCAATAATTGCTGATTGATAGATAAAACTTATTTTTGTATTTAAACTCGTGGTCGAGAGACCATTGAGTTTTATAAATAATTAATATTTAACTCGTCGAGTACCGTCATTATAGACACAATTATATAGAACAATAGGTTGCGGTCACCGGTGACCGCTTGGTATTTGACAGTTTAAGAGTCCTATATAATAGGGGGCGAGCCTATTACCAGTCACAATTACAGACACCGTGCTACTACTGAGAGTTTTTTTTTAAACCCCTATATTGCCCTACCCGGGAATCGAACCCAAGACCCCTTGCCGGGCAGTCGCACTTGCGAACGAGCGCTTAGTTTCACTGACGGACAGACTGATAGACTATTATTTATTTCATATTTGTTGACGTTTCAAAAGTACCAAATTATGGTTTAATTGAAATAAATGCTTTCAGAATCAGAATCAGAATCAGAATATTTTTATTTGTAAACATAGGTATGTGAGGTGTTACAGGTAGGAAGATTCTCCATGTTTTGCCCAGAGGCGTACAAATATTGCATATAATTAAAATTATTTAACATTGTCATCATTCAAAAATTAATTGACACTTGTAATTGCAAATTAAATTGAAACCGATTAAGTAACATGTCATACAATACTAATGCATAAATAAAATTAGGATCATCAAATAAGTCATAAGTCTTAAGTAATGCCAATATTAACAAGATTTAACAAATTGTCTAGAGAGATTAATTTTCGTGTCATATTATTTAGCGTTAAATATAACATTAACAGATATTAATTCGCATATACATATCATCACAAATAAAATAGAATTAATTCAATAAAATGTCAAAAAAAAGTTACATGTCATATAGGCCAATGTCAAACAAAATTCAAAAAATCAAAACAAATGGGGTTGTGCGCTATTGTCTGAGGCAGTAATTATAGAATTGTCGTCCAAATAAGCCTTTACTGAGTAATAGCACTTATTTATCAAAATTTTCAATAGTTCTTTTTTGAAATTGTCTAAGTTTAACGTCTTTATTGTCTCAGGTAGTTTGTTAAATATTTTTTGGGCCATACTGAGGATACTCTTATTCATTAACGCAGTTTTTCCATGAGTTACTTCAAGTTCTGACTTATTTTTGTCGCGTAATTTTCTGTAGTAGCTTTTAGTGGCTATTTTATATAGTGAGAGATTAGTTTTGACAAACACATTAGTTTCGTATATGTATAACGATGGCAAGGTAAGAATTTTTAGGCGAATAAAAAACGGTTGACAGCTTTCCTTGATGTTAAGGCCACACATCGCTCTGACACATCGTTTTTGTGCTCTAAATACGGATTCCCTATCTACTGAATTACCCCAATATATTACGCCATATCTGAGTACTGATACAACATACCCGTGATAGGCTGCCAGGACGGATTCTAAGTTTACAATTTTTGATAGTTTATAGAGAACATAAGTAAATTTGTTTAATTTTTTACATACTTCGTCTGTCTGGGATCGCCAAGTCAAATTGTTGTCAATATTAATACCAAGAAATTTAATAGTTGTTACCGGTTCAATTGTTGTCCCCAAATAGTTAATATTTAGATTATTGTTTGGGATCCTTTGATAAAAATGCATAATTTTAGTCTTTTCTAAGTTTATTTTTAGATTATTTTTATCAAACCATGATATCATTTTATTCAATGTCATATTTATTTCATTTCCATAAGTATTGGGATTGTCACACTCAATGACTACGGTACTATCATCGGCAAAAAGCACCATAGGGTGATTTATTTGTTCCGGAAGGTCATTAATATAAACCAAAAAAAGAAGGGGTCCCAGCACGCTACCCTGAGGAACGCCGTATTTAATTA